CCCCCAAAGTGCATCAATGTACACAGTTACCATTCAATAAAAAAAAAAAAAAAAGATAATTCAGGTTGAGAGATGGAAGAGAAGTGGAAGAGGAGGATGAGATTGATACTATGGGAGTTGGAGGAGATAATTCATGGATTATAACTCCAGAAGTGAAAAGGGACGGAATCTAGGCACAGAGTAAGGATTAGGGACATATTTTTACTATCCTGTCAAGGAAAGATAGACTGAGTGAGTATAAGAAGAAGTTGTAAGGATGGGGGAAAGAAGTTAAGAGCACATGTGTTGCATGAATTTTATTTTCTCTATGAAGTTTGAAAATTAGACTTTATACTGAGGAGAAAGAGGACAGGAAGAACTGTGTGACAAATACAAGGCTTGGGGTAGCCACGGTGAAGAATGAGGAAGATAGCTGGGCAGGGTGGTGCACACTTGGAGTCCCAGCTACTGAGAAAGCCAAGGCAGGAGGATTGCTTGAAGCCAGGGGGTTGAGGTTGCATTGAGCTATAATCATGCCACTGCGTACTGGCCCAGATGACAGAGAGAGACCCTGTCTCGCACACACACACACACACACACACTAAAGAGGGAGCCAACTAGGGATGAGGAAATTAAAAAAAATTTTTTTTTTTTTCACTAAAAAATTTTCTAACAGTGTAAAAAGAAGCATGCTGGACTAAGAGTGAGTGGGTGTATCTCTGAAGGAAATGAGTTCATTTTATGATTATTCCCTAGTATTCTGTACTGAGCACATGTTACCTTTATCATAATAACAGATATTTTAATTTTTGTATGTGGATCACATTTTTTCTTATTGTATTACTGGTTATTTTTAAGTGTTTCTGTGTACATTATTATAATATCAGGTTTTTGATGTGATAGAAAGAGCCCTGAACTCAGAAGTCAAAAGACTTCAGTTCTGACTCTGTACCTACAAGGCCTCAGCAATACCCCCAGAGGTGTTCTGAATCTGTATCCATGTTTTATAAGATATGCACAGTATCTTTCTGCCAAATTCATAAAGTGGCAAGCATCTATGTTAAAATGAGATAATTTAAGAGAAAGTACTTGGTAAGTTTCTAAGTACTATATATGTATTATGTTATACTATATATATATATATACACACTTAGCACCACACATAGTATATACTATAATTATATAGATAACATTACTATATGTCGTATTATATACTAAAATTATAGATAGTATAATATGTACTATAATTAATACTAATTAGTATAATTATATACTAATAATATAGTATAGCTGTACACTTTACACAGTATACAGTAATCTCCCTCTTATCCATGGTAAATACATTGTAAGACCCCCCTACCCCCAGTAGATACCTGAAACCAAGGATCTTACCAATCCTCTATATATACTGTGTTTTTTTCTATACCAACATACGTATATTAAAGTTTGTAAATTAATCACAATAAGACATTAATAGTAATAAAATAGAACAATTAACAGTATGCCAGTAACACTTCTTGTACTTTGAGGCCATTATTAAATAAAATAAGGGTTATTTGAAAACAAGCATTGCATTAGTCTAATAGTCGATCTGATAACCAAGATGACAACTAAGGGACAATGGGTAGGTAGTAAATACAACATGGTACTCTGGACAGAGGGACGATACCTATCCCGGGTAGGACAATGGAGGATGGTATGAAATTTTATCATGTTACTCAGAATGACACACACTTAAAAAGTTATGAATTGTTTATTTCTGGAATTTTCCTTTTAATACTTTTGGACTGGAGTTGACTGTGGGTAACTGAAATAGCAGAAAGTGAAGTCACGGATAAGGAGAGATTACTATAATGTTGCATTTGGTGAAAATTTCTAGGGATTTCTACCCCCTGCCCCTACGTGTGGTCTTTAATGATTATCAGTTTATTTTGTTAAATACACATTGAATTGAGCTTCCCTAAAGGTTATATTTCTTTAGGGCACTGACCTTGTATTTTATTTAACATACTGTGTGCCCTATAGGCTTCCATAAGTACCTTTTAATTTACTAACACAATACACTAGAGCTTTACCTTAAGTAATTTAGTGTTCAGATTAATACTAGGTTATGTTACATTTCAGTAATAGGTTTTTTTGTAAATGCATTTAGAAGGAAGAACTTAAATTTTAAGGAAAAAAATTAAATAATTTAGCTTGTATTAATTCCCTGAACTGAATATAATACTATACTGAAGCTTTTTCTTCCTTTAGGATTCCATTGCAAAGCCCCATGTGATTGTAGCAGGAGCTGCCACGGCAAGTTATTAACTGTATTCTTACATCATAATTTTTGTTTCACACTTAAGGATATGCTAAGAAAAAGTCAACTTATGTCAAATAGAATTCTTGATTGTACTTACCTTTTAATTCTTATTTCTATTATAATCAGACTGAATTTTTTAAAAAGCCCTGAATGAACTTAGGAAATTTGGTGTTACATATCAGTATTATTTTATACCTAAAACTGTATTCTTCTTAATTGTCATACATTATAAGTCTAATTTTATGACAGCTTTTTTTCTAATTGCCTTTATATGTTTCATGAAATGATTTTACTGAATTTTATTCTAAGATTGAATAAATTAGGGAATTATCTTAAAATAGTAACCCTATCATAATAAGTAAGTTATATACTTTAATTTTTCTGTGAAAAATACTGAATTAATGATTAATTTCCCTTGTTATTAGTGGTCCATCAAGATTCACAATGGTAGCAATGAAGCACTTTCGCAATACAAAATGAACATTACCTCCATAGCACCACTTTTAGAAAAATTGGCAAAGACTAGTGATGTTTATTGGGTCTTACAAGGTAAGGAATAAATAATGAAAATGTCATATTGTATATATTTTGAGGCACAGGTTTTTATTATCTCCTGTTTCAAGATGCAAAGTTATTGCTTTATGAGAATAACTTTTGAAATAAGGTTTACAAGATGAGAATAAACTGGAGTTATTTGCTTTCCTTTTTTAAGTGTAAGGAACAGACTAATAAATACAATAAGTAAAAAATAAGTAAATAAAAAATATTCTCCAAGGATCCTCAACAGGCAAAATGGTTGTAGAATATAACAAAGAGATAAGTCCTAAAGGCAAATGAGATCTTTACCTCTGGTTTTTTATTTCTTACAAAGAATATTTATTGTGATAAGTAAATATGGAGAAGAAGTATTAGTAAATCTGTTTCATAATATTAGAAATATTGGAAGTAAATATACTTTTAAATTGACAGAATATTGTGTGAATATTGAAATATTGTGTGAATGTTTAAATTCATGCCATCTATTTAATAGCTTATACTTGGTAATGAAATTCTTTAAGAGAAAATAGACATTAGGTTAACTCATTTCAGGAATTTATTGAATGTCCATTATTTAATACCCAGCACAATATGAAATGACCTGGGTATTTTCACAATTCAAGGTGTACGTCAGAAACTCTTATGATTCTTTTCAAGTTGAATGTCACAATAAAAAGAATATGAAAAGGTTGTGATGATCTGTTCTATATCCTTGTTCTATTCAAAGACTCATTGTTAACCTTTCTCTTACTAAAATGAGAAAAATTTAAATATATTATAAATTATTTGTAGTAAGTGATAAGAGAGTAGACAGACCTTGATCCTAAATAATATTGACTCCTAATTGTATGAACAGAGTTTACAGAATTAAGTAGTGACAGCAGAAAAGAAAAAAAAAATGGGCTGCTACTCTTAATTAGGCAACATTCCGTAGTCCAGTTTTAATTCCTTATTATCCAGTATAACCCAGTATTCCAACATTTTAAACTCGTAGGAGATGCTAGAACATAAAAATGTTTCCCTAAAGCTATGTACATAGAGAAGGAACAAAAATTCTTTAAATTTGGGTGACCCCTGTGGCTCAAAGGAGTAGGGCGCCAGCCCCATATACCGGAGGTGGCAGATTCAAACCCAGCCCCTGCCAAAAACTGAAAAAAAAAAAAAATTCTTTAAATTTGAGGGAGTTTACTGGTTGACTCAAAAACTTAATATAAGGTAGGAAATCTATTTATCTTAGCTAGCTTTATGTACAAATGAATTATTAGGTACCCAGTATATACATTTTAGAAACAAAATATGAAATGTCGATTAAATAGCTCCATGTTCACAGCTTTTACCAATAGGGATTTCTAATGTGTTTTTAAAAATGTGTTTCACATGTAGATCCTGTTTATGAAGATCTGTTAAGTGAAAATAGGAAGATGATCACTAATGAGAAGATAGATGCCTACAACGAAGCTGCAGTCAGTATTTTGAATAGTAGCACCAGAAATTCTAAATCGAATGTTAAGATGTTCAGTGTTTCCAAATTAATTGCTCAAGAAACTATCATGGAATCTTTGGATGGCTTACATCTTCCTGAATCAAGCAGAGAAACTGTAAGGAATCTTGTATTTGTCAGTAGATGGGAACTATAATATCAATTGGTTACAGGCATAAGTCATTATAACTTTGGTAATTTACTTTATTGCAGTTTTAATTACTTGTAGTTGTTCCCTCTAAAGGTACATCCAGAAATAGTTTTGCTTTCTCTCATCTAGCTGAACATACAAGTAGGAGTTTTAGTGTACTCTAAGAGAGGAAGATGTTATGGAAAGGATGAAATGAAACTTCATTTATTGAGTACTAATCACTGTTACAATACCTTGTCTCACACGCTCTTAGCGTGCGCATGTTTGAAAACTGCTTTATGTTGTCCTTAACTTCAAACTTTAAGCTGTCAAGATTAATAAAGAACTCTTCAATGACAAGTGCATTTTTTAACATATAGAATAATTTTTATTGTTTCCTATAATCTATACCCTAAACGTGATTCACTGTACAAAGTAGGTGTTGAACAAATTCAGGTTGACTGATGGAAAGAGATTTGGATCAACTGTGAAGGAGAACTGCATAACTATAAATTTTCACACATAGTAGAACAAATTATTTCGTGTTCTTTTAAATCCTATGAAGCAATGGTCTTAACCTTTTTTGAAGATCGCACAAACTCTTTGAGTATATGATAATAAGCCATGGTTCTGTTCCTCTGTGCAGAAAATGTGTGTGTTTGCTTGTACACACAGTTCTCTGTGTACTTAAAGAGGCTTTGTAGACTTCCCCTAAAAGCTGATTAAGAACCTTGCAGTGGAATTTGTAAGTTAGTATCTGTAAGCGTGTTAGTGTAGAACCTCCTGAAGTCTCAGGGCTAAAAGGATGGGGTTACTAAACGTTTGAGTACTTTAAATATTTAGGCTTAAATAATATTATCATCTAGAGTTCCACAAACACCTGAACTACAAAGTGTTTATGAAATTAGAAACTGACTGAAACTTTAACTGGATAGAATCTTGACAGCTTTCCTAGAATAATTTCATTATAATCAAAGCATGTTGAAGCTTCTGTATTGTAGTTAACATTAGAAATCTTAAAACTGTAGAATCCTAAGTGGTCTATAAACTATAGACCAAATGAAAGGTGTACTATAAATATTGTTTGCTAAGAATTAATAATTTTTCACTGATGATATTATTACATTCTTTTATCACATCTAAATAGTAGAGTCTCTGTATGTTCTGTTTTGAAAGTTTGTTAGTTAAAATTCTTTGGTCCTTGATATCTGTCAGTATTTTTTTAATCAAAGGTCAAGACTCATTAGCAGCCATGAAATCAGTATTTTTTTTAAAAAAAGAATAGAATAGAACAATCTCAGAGTGCATTCCAAGTAGTAAGGGTAAGTATTGTTTCCTGTAATGTATCCTGGGTCATGTTATAAAATGAGTTTTTTATTATGGATCATAGTCCCGGAAGTTTGAAACACCCTGAACTAGCTGTTGAAAGATTGAAGGAACACCATCATTTGAATGAGTGTTTGGGAAGTGGGGGCAAAAAGTATGAAAAAGCAGTTTGGTTTCAGTGCTGAAAACTCAGCAGTATTCACAGGAGAAAATCTAATGTAAAATACATCACTGACAAGATAATAACCAAATAACTTGATTTGTTCACAGAGTGCAATGATTCTTATGAACGTATATTGCAATAAGATTTTGAAGCCTGTAGATGGTTCCTGTTGTCAACCTCGGCCTCCTCTTACTCTCATACAGAAGCTAGCTGCTTGCTTTTTCACCTTATCTATTATTGGATATTTAATTTTTTATATAATTCATCGTAATGCTCATCGGAAGAATAAGTCATGTACTGATTTGGAAAGTGGAGAGGAAAAGAAAAATATTATCACTATCCCTGTGTCTCCATTAGAAGTACTTTTACAGTCTTTCTGCAAACTTGGTCTGATTATGGCTTATTTCTATATGTGTGATCGTGCAAATCTGTTTATGAAGGAAAACAAGTTTTATACGCATTCATCTTTCTTTATTCCAATTATCTACATCTTGGTTTTGGGAGTATTTTACAATGAAAATACTAAGGAGGTAAGAGTCATTTTCTTCTTAGCTCATATTATCCTTCTTTTATCATTACAATCGTTACATTAAATAAAATGTCATCTATCATGCTAGAATAGACAAACATATTTAAAGAGGAGGATGAGGGAATATTGTAGTTACACCTCACTTAACTGTAGTTTTTCAGAACAGTTTGGAAGAAGTTCAGAGTTGCATGTAAATTGTTGAAAAGGTGGGAAATATGATTGTGAAAAAGATACCATGACTTAGTGTTATCTTGCCTGCTTGGGAATGGAGAAAGTGGAGGCTCCTGATTTTACAGTGGTCTTTAATCACAAGATGCTATCATCTTTAATAAATTAAAAACATATAATTATACATATTAACAAACACTAGTCTGTATGAAGATATGTTTATATATTTCTCAGTCAGACATATATCCACACAAATTAGAACTTACATAATGATGTGGACTACTCAGTAGCATTTTGAATTTCCTATTTTTGAATTTTCTATTTTAGAATTTCCTATTTTTCAATAGTCTGTCATTGCTAAGAATGCTAAGAAAAGAATATTTGTGTAACATCTCAGAGTATTTGTCTTACATCTTTACAAGGCATGATTCATTTGAATTAGTAAGTTCTATTGTCAAAAAATACCTCTCCTTTAACGATTATTAATCAGTTCTTCATATCTAGTAAGAATTACAAAGGGAAATAAACTAAACTATAATAGAGCTTTTTCCGACAAAGTCTGAAAGAACTATAAGGTCTTTTTTTAACTCAGAAATTCTAAAGAAAATTACAGAATGCCGTTTTTAGGTTTATAAATATTCACATCTATTGTAGTTTAAATGTCATTTTAATATAAAACCAAAAGAATCAACTTAAATATTCAAAATCTCCTTTAGTTTATATTTACTTTTTAAATTCATATTATAATTAATATAGTTTTATGATCTCTTTTATCAGAAAATAAAATGACAACTTTTAACTGCCCCTCCAAGATTCTTTTGAAAAGAGCATTACCCTTATATTTTGTAAGAAAAATTTTAGCATACTTAATATAGACTGTCTAAATAATTTATGGTGAATTTTAAAACAGATTCTGATTCCTTTACACAGACTAAAGTATTAAATAGAGAACAAACAGATGAATGGAAAGGCTGGATGCAACTAGTAATTTTGATTTATCACATCTCTGGAGCAAGTACAGTAAGTATTTTACATTCAGAAAGTATAGGAAATGTCATTTTAATGGGTTTTTTGTGTGTTTTTGCTTCTCTACCCATTAGAGACCCTTCTTATTTTGCACTTGATGTCCTGTCTTCACATTCTTCTCTTAACTCTTTAAGAAGTATAATTTTAATAGCAAAAATAATTTTTAAGAGACAAGGAAATAGGCTCAGCGCCTGTGGCGCAAGTGGCTAAGGCACCAGCCACATATACCTGAGCTGGCGGGTTCGAATCCAGCCCTGGCCCGCCACACAACAATGGTGGCTGCAACCAAAAAAAATAGCCAGGCCTTGTGGTGAGCTCCTGTGGTCCCAGCTACTTGGGAGGCAGAGGCAGGAGACTTGCTCGAGCCCAGAAGTTGGTGGTTGTTGTGAGCTATGATGGCACAGCACTCTACCCAGGGGACAGCTTGAGACTGTGTCTCAAAAAAAAAGAGACAAGGAAATACTTGATTTGTATTTACTTTCTCTTAATTATAATGATGGGAATATCTGATATCTAAAAGAGTTATTTCTTGTCATCTTATTGAGCAGGAAATTTAAAGTTATCAAGAAACGTTATAGGTGACAATTACAAAGGATTTAGATAAGCAAGTTACTATCAAAAGAAATCAAATTGTATTTTTATATTCTTCACTTCTATGAAGTTTGATCCACTATCTTTACATTTTTAAAGTTAAAAAACTTAGAACTCTCTTGCCTCAGTGTTCAGAGAATCCGGATAAAGATGCACTACCCTCCTAGACCATGAGTATACCATACTTCCTAAGTACTACTGTACCCTTCCTTTGATCACCCAGTATCTTTTGTATGTAGACAAAATAGTTTTTTTCTTCTCCTTCAGTGTATTAAAATACTGTGGCCTTCTTTGCTCCATCAGGGTTAGGAAAAATGTATTTATTTTGAGTTGTAGCATTACCGCTATATCACAGTTAAAACAAGCTTTTAGGGGTGAGGCTAACAACTACTTTTCATGTAGATTTTTATAGTTAAGATACAATCTGACTTCTATACAATATGTTAAAGTTTTAAGAAAGTCATTCATAATTTGGGAGCTACTGAAGTGGGCTTTATTGCTTTATTTGCCTATGTAAAGCACATATCTGTAAATAATATTTAATAAGTTGAGGTAAGAGGGGAGAGTGTTGCCCAGAAAGGAGTATTTTGAAAATTCCATAGCAGCAAATAAGGAGGTGAATAATATTGTTACTGGGGTTTTGCAAGTATCTCCAACAATTTGAAAACAATGTTATTCTTCATTGTCTCTTTATTATTTTCAAAAATTGTTGGTGATTTTATGGTTGATTGAAGGACAGAAGGCAGAGGGATGAAGTGTAATTTTTGCTGCAGTTACATGGCTGTGATACTACATTTGTGGCAACAGTAAAATTCCTGTGGCACTGCAGCTGAAGGGAAGCTAGTGAATCTGAATAGCTATAGAAGAATCGAGACAGTAAAAGGAAGGATAGAGACAGCAAGACAAGGTTTATGAACCCAGCTCAGAATTTGTAGGCTAAATCCAGTGCTTATCTCAGAAGTAAATAGAGATGAATATTGAATCTAGAAATATTTCTGCCATGTGAATAAAGACTGGGTTAATTTGGGGGAAGGAGGGGACTTAAGAAAATATCATTTAGAGACATAATTAATTGGTGACATATTAAAATGTGATACTACTGTAAAAAAAAAATTAGGCAGAAAGAATTAATGGCAGATTGAGTTCTTCAATTCAGTGACTCCAGAAAGTGTTTAGATCGTAAAAGGATGAAGGCAATTTGGTGTTCTATTATAATCATTTACCAACCTAACATTCTAATATATCTTAGACTACAACCCAATACGTTCTAAATTACAGTTTTTAAAAAACATCTCTGTTCTGGAAGAGCATACTTTTCATTAAGAGATGACTATAATGATTAATTAACATGTGCCTATTCTTTTAACCACGATTTCGTGGTTAAAAATGGCCTATATCTACAGTGGCAAAGCATTATTAACATAGGTGATAGCATATTTGGGGACTTGATTCTTGTATATTTGAGGGATTACCCTTATGAAAAATTTTTACTGCCACAATTATGTTAATTACCTAAACTTAATGTTTTTTATTTTGAGTAAAATATGTCAAGCTTCAGTTGTGCCATGTTTTTATGCTAAAAGAGAAAACTATTTAAAAAATTCTAGAGAATTATTAAAATAATCCAGATGGTCTGGCAGATTGTCATCCTTAGTATGAACATTCTTTTAAAATAAAATTCTTAACAAATTGAGATAAAATGCCTTGAACTTTACATGAAGAAAGCAGCAAGTTAGGTATATGCAGTAGGTGATTTTTGTGTTCCATTCTGTTTTTTTTTCCCCCTTTGAGAATTTGTAAGTAACTTTTATAAAGAGACTTCAGTGAAGGGTCATGAGTGAAAATTTGGGGGATAAGAAAAAAAAATAGAACCAGTAGTCAGCCTAGCTATTAACGGTAATGAAGTGGGAATTCCAAATATATTTTTAATACTAAAATTTTGCCGTGAGTAAAACTTGACTCATGAAAAACAGAAACAGTTTGACTTAAAGGAGGTGAAAGAGGCAACACTACTCTATGCAATGTATGATCCTTGATTTAAGGCTCCTACAGCAAAAAATTTTCTTTTGAAACCATAAAGGGTATTACTGGTATAATTGAATAAATTTGAATATGGATTGTATATGAAATACTATTATATTCAGTGACTATGAATGTGTCTTACGTATGCTATTATAATGTGGTCATGTAAGAAAGTATCCTTTCTTCCTAGGAGGGATGTGGAGAAATATTTAGGTGTGCCATCACATGGTCTGCAGCATCCTTTACGTGATTCTGCATGGCATCTAGGTGCCCAGTGTACTATTCTTACAACTTTTCTGTTGGTTGAAAACATCTTAAGATAAAAGTATAGGGGTGGCGCCTGAAGCTCAGTGAGTAGGGTGCCGGCCCCATATGCTGAGGATGGTGGGTTCAAACCCGGCCCCAGTCAAACTGCAACATAAAAATAGCTGGGCGTTGTGGTGGGCGCCTGTAGTCCTAGCTATACGGGAGGCTGAGGCAAGAGAATCACCTAAGCCCAAAAGCTGGAGGTTTCTGTGAGCTGTGATGCCACAGCACTCTACTGAAGGTGACAAAGTGAGACACTGTCTCTAAAAAAAAAACATAAAAGTATGGGGGAAATATTACATGAAATTTGTAATAGGCCAATATTGGCAGGAACTTGGAAAATTGTCATGATGGTATTTAATTTTATTTAAATGAATAGTATTTACTGCTTAAATATAATAACCAACACCAACTTTGCAGTCCCAGATCCGGTCTTAACAGTGATTTGAAAGTATATTTTATGGAGAGTGATTAAAGTAATCGGGAATAGTTAACCTAAATTTGACATCTGTTTTCAAATACTTGTAGAGCTATCAGATGTAAGAGTGACTTAGCTTGGACATACAGCCTTAAAGCTAGACTCTCTACTACAATACCTACTAGTTACATGTGGCTGTTGAGCACTTTGTAGCTAGTCAGAATTGAGATGTGCTGGAACTGTGAAGTATGTACCAGATTAAATACAATTATGATCAATTCATACTAAGTTCAAAAACTTTGTAGAAAGAAACAATGGGAAATATCTCATTACATGTTGAAATAATATTTTGGATACACTGTGTTAAACAAAATATATATATTGATAGTAGTTTCATTTGTTTCTTTTAACTTTTTAAATGTTCTGGTAGCCATATCAAAAAATTATTTATATGGCTCATATTTTAGTTCTGTTGGACAGGACAAAGCTACTACTCCAGAGGGCTGAAGTTAGTAGCTTTTACATACAGATTTCAACTTTTCATGAAAAGGAACTTTATAGTAATTAATAACCACTTATAAGTGGAATGAATTGCCTTGGGAGTTTATATGTTTTATGCTATTAAAAGTTACTTAGGCAAGTCTAGGAAAGGGATATTTTAGAGTGCATTCAAGAATGAGATAAAGGCATAGGTTTGGATTAGGTTTAATAACTTTAAAGTTTTAAAGTTATTCAGTACTACTTTTCCTACCTTCATCTTTGTGATTCTAATGTATCATTGAAAATTTCTGATATTTAATAAGGAGATAAGACATTTAAAAGTAGCTAATAAGGAAGGGCAATAAATAAAATTCTGCATTTGCATTATCGGAGCTATAGGAACTCCAGAAGGTGCAATGATATTCATCAGATAGCAAAGATTAGAATTTTTAACCAGGTTCTGAAGGAAAATAGAAGTTGAATAAGCAAAATGTATTTAGGGGAAACGTATTCCAAGGCAGAATTAAGAGGTAAACAAAGTGAGTTGACCAGGAAACTCAAGAAGAACCAGTTTAGGAGACAGCAAATCAATCATTTTGCTTAGAGTGAAGGCTAGGTAGAAGAATTTATGATCTATTATAGGTTCCGAGTTTTTTTTTTCCTCCAGAAAAAATACTCTTCCCCCAAAAGGAAACAGATATAATCAAGGGTGTTCAAGCCCTTATATATCTACTTAATGTGTCCACTTAATTATTTTGTCTTACAAAGCATCACTTGAGGAAGATACGTCTAAAATGGCCATAAACAATATTAATGCTGGATAATTGCAGGAGTGATCACACAGGTCCATAAAATATTAATAGAAGCCAAAGAAATGTTATATAGATCTAGTAGTTACTCTAGAAAGAATGGCCTTATAATTGCGAGGATTGGATGTCATTGAACAAGCCTTTTAAAGATTATTTTTTAAAAGCGTGCTGGTTATATTGTGGAGATCAAGAATAGACCCCTAAGGTCCAGTGTGTGGTGGATAGACAGAATGACAGTGTTCTAAAGCTGTGAATGAGATAACATTTCTAGAGACTCCTAGCATATGCCATGTTGCATTTCATTCAGTTTAGGCAGAAGTGAAGATGTGATGCTCTGGAAAACCATGATAAAGCTATGATTATGATTGCAGGAATTGGGCATGATGAAGATTGTGATGTAGGAATATAAACCAAAATTATTTCATAAAATAAACATGGGAAGGAAATAATATTCCTAGATTGTGTTTGCATGTTTTTGAAAATATGTATTTTTCGTAATAATATTACGAGTAGTCATTTGACCACTTATAGGTCTAAAGTCTATATATTTGAAGGGGTCAAAAATGTGCGATTTTTGTTTATTTTGTTTTTCATCATGAAAATATAAAGCCCAGAGTAATTTTATATTCAGGATATATAGTGATTAATGATTTTAACTATCATATATTGAATTCTAACTGGGTGCAAGTTAATATACCAAGTACTTCACATTTATCCCATTCATTCCTCATAAGAACCCTTTAAAGAAGGAGGTGATAGTCTCATTTTGCAGACTGCAAAATTTAAAGTCACATAGCTGAAAAATGGCAGAACCAGAATTTGCACCTAAGTCTGTCTGATTCCAAAATCTACATTTTTGTAATCCCTGCTATAGTGCCTAACTTTTGAGGATAAACTTTTCATTGAACTAATGCCAAATGACAACAGTGACTTATTATCTTTGTTAAATGTACTCGTTTTGGTGATCCAAAATGAATTATAGTAGTATATAGTACAGTTGATGCCAACGTTTATTTTCCCTGTTTATTTCTGTCAACAGTTCTTGCCTGTATACATGCACATTCGAGTTCTGGTTGCTGCTTATCTGTTTCAGACAGGGTATGGGCATTTCTCGTATTTTTGGATCAAAGGAGACTTTGGAATCCATAGAGTATGTCAGGTGGGAATGTATTCAGTTATTTTAATTTTCTTTCAAGTCAACATACTTTTGCACCTAACTATTGAGCAGAAATAAATATGGTCATTATAAGACCATGAATAATTTGAATTTATGAAATAGCACTTTAAAATTGTATTATTTCTATGTTCTATATTTAGTAATTTGCAATAAACAATGTAATTAGTGATGGGAAATGTAATTTAAATAAATATATAATGAAAGCACTGGTTTAAAAAAGACAGCTTGCTGATTCACTTCAGTTTTGTAGAAGTATACCTAGTAATCTGGAATTATTATATGATGGTATGTTTTCTCAGAGAAGAGGATTAGTATTTATTAAATTTCTCTTCTGTTAAGTAGTTTCTAAACATTATTTTATTTACCCTCCATCACAACCCTAAGTTGTTATCCCTGTGTTTACAGATGAGAAAACTAAGGCTCAGAGAGGTTAAATGATTTGCCCAAGGTTACATAAAATCAGTGAATAGAATAAAACTAATACAAATCAGCCCAAATTCTGTGTTCTTTGAATGACATCAAAACTGATACCTAAAATGACTGTTAAAAAGGTCCCAAAGACACTTAGAGGAATATTATTTTGTATCTATGACAACTCTCAATTTAATCCCAAATGGGGTGAATCAACATCAAACAAGAGATGAAATGACACCCCTTTCTTGAAATAATCTAATCTCTGTTTATATACTATAGCTCTAGGAAAGAGGTTTACAATTCTTTTTTCCTGCATTTAACAAGATGGCAATTGCAGTAAGAGGACAGCTTGGGCTAGTGCTTTGCTGGGATTTAGTTAATATAACAATGCATAAGTATTTTATATTCACCTCTTTATAGTGATTGTAGAACAAATGTAATTTTAGGTATAAGTAAAATATACTTCCATAGTTATTTCTGAGTCTTAAATGTTTATACTCTGGCAGAGAAAATGTCTTTGCTGTTCATGTGTACCTGGAATTGGAATGAAAACCATTTTCTTCTCCTTTTTAATAGGTCTTATTTCGCCTCAATTTCCTGGTGGTGGTCTTATGTATAGTAATGGATCGGCCTTATCAGTTCTATTACTTTGTCCCTTTGGTCACAGTATGGTTCATGACCATATATGTTACATTAGCAATATGGCCACAAATAATCCAAAAAAAAGCAAACGGTAAATATACTCTTAATAATGTTAATAAATCTATTATTTTGGTGTACTAGATTTCTTTTTAATTGCTAAAGGCTATTTTTTTATTAATAGATGTAAATAGTACAGTTTTGACATTTTAAAATTTTGTTTTTTAAGTTTTTCTAAATATTACAGCTTAATAGTTCAATTAATGTAACAGTAAAGAATAATAGCTTACATTTATGTGTGTGCATTTTCCCTTTTCTAAGTTTCAATTTTTCAAAGCCTTTTTATATAATACCTAAGGCCACAGTTTTCAAACTGTCTCGTACAGAGCCACAGTAGAGGGGTGGCTCTGAAGTAGAGGGAGCGAGAAGAGAAAAAGGAATGCCAAGTAGGACTCCAGGCCCCTACATCCTGCTTCAACTTTGGCAGCTCCCTTTATTTCATTTCTTATATAGAGAGATTACGAGTAAATATTCATTTACAATTAAAGTTTAAATGTCGATCAAAGTTTAAAAGCCTTAACATAATTTGTCTATTAGACAACCATTTAAGCTGTTACTGTCAACCTGTTTTATGTATAAGGAACCAAAAGGTTGTTGTTTACAAATTTCACATAGTCAGTTACTGATAATGTTCAAAGTAAGGCCACAGTCATTTATCTTAATTTTTTACCTTCAAGATCGTATCATTAAAATAAAATTTTCCCTTTTTTTGAAAAATCATTTACTTTTTAAAATGTATTTAACTTGACTCTTTCAACTAACTATTATATTTCAAAAAATTTTTTCAGGGGCGTCACCTGTGGCTCAGAGTAGGGTGCCGGCCCCATATGCTGGAGGTGGTGGGTTCAAACCCAGCCCCGGCCAAAAACTGCAAAAAAATAAAATTTTTTTTTCATTGGCTGTTTTGAAACATCAAGTACTTTTTCAGGAAAGACTTGAACTCCATCCAATCTCTGTTAAAATTCCTTAATTTATTTAGATAGCCTCTGTAGTTTAATTTCTTTATACCAATCCAGCATATTATCTAATAAACAGTCAATATGTATAAACTTTGAACACATTTCAAATATGTATATGTTAAAAAATATCATATGGTTAAATCCTAGTTCATTAGGGAGCTTAAACGCTCTCTTTGCAACTTTAATAAAGTTTAAGCAATATTACCTAATTTATATTCAACATAAGTATTTGTTAAAATTACATTGAACATATTGTCCCAAATTTTGTTGTAACTTTCACTAATGAATAGGTAGAATGGAATCCAGGAGGCATTTTAAAATGTATTTATAGTAGATGAACAGCAAGTATCTAAAGTATCAGTGATACCCTATGGCCTCATTCTTAGCAAGAATCTTCCACCTGATTTTTGTTTTGCCCTACTTATAATGTATACTGGCTAGATGTATTTTGTGTATCCTTGTAAGCAGCCTTAAATTGCTTTGAGAATTATTCAGGGTATAAATACATTAAATAGAAAATGTTTAATATGTTTTCTAATACAAATTCATATGTGTTAGTAAATTAAATATTTTCTCTCTTAGGAAATTGTTTCTGGCATTTTGGCTTACTGTTGAAACTAGCCTTTTTGCTGTTATTCATATGTTTTTTGGCATATTCTCAGGTTTGTACAGTCTTTTCCGTTTATATTTTGTGATATTTACTTTAAAGTTCAAGTCTATTAAAGTATGTGTGAAGACTGAGGTTTTTTTTTTTTTTAAGCTTCATTTTTTAATGACTGTAATAAAAGTGTCACTCTATAGTTGACTACTCCATGTAGTTCTTTTGAGATATATCTACTTTTGTTACCACTGTTTTTGTTGTAAGAGCAATTTAAAGCTCTTCCTCTGGCAGTTGTTCAGGATCCATTTTACTTGACTTGGATCAATCAAACGTTTATTTGAATGCCTCTTATAAGACACTACTCTAAGTGGAGATCAAAATTCTCTTGACAGAATGTGCAACTTAGTTTGTGCATTATTCATTGCATCAAAGTATTACTTGATTTTTCTATAACTACATAGAGTAAAATTTTGGCAGTTAGTAAAACCAGCTTGGGAGCAAAGGGATATGTATGTATGTAGTGTGTTTAATTTTATAAAATTTGGTCATTTTCCTAGCTCTAACTTTTGATCCCTCTGTTCTGATGGTTGAAACTTTCTCACTTTAGCAGAGTAGCAGTCAGCTGCCTGCTGACTAAATCCTTCAGGCAGATGTGTTATTTGGGCAGCATGAAGTTTATAACAACCTTTTAATTTGAATGTCTATAGTTGTGACTTATTCTGTGGTTTACTTGCACCTCTAACACTGTGCCTGAAACAGCCAGGCATACATGCCCTATAGGCATGTTGTGTGTATATACATATAATCCTAGAAAGCTGTTGGAGGCATTTTTGTAGGCTTTTATACTTATTTTAATACTTAAGAGCATTTAAAACATTATTATTGCTTGCTAACATTCAAAGTTTTTTTTTAATAGATCAATAAAATAAAGAAGTAACAGACAGATATATAAAGAACTAGCCAAGTAATAGCAATAACTACTGGACAGTTATTCATTAAAATTCCCAACACTCTTTGGGTACTTTTGAAGGAAAGAGAAGAAAGCTGACCAGAGGTTCAATATAGGGATTAGGAACATTTCTCTAGCTTTCAGTCAGTGCTGACCACTGGCACAAGAAAGAAAAAGATTCCCACTCCACTGCAGCCCCACTATCTTTCACAAACTAGGTTGCCTGATAAATATTTATTTTTTGATCATGTTAAGAAATAAATTTGAATTAGAATTAAATTTTAAATGGTAAATACATCTTATATAATGTCTGAAATATGCCACATATATAATCAATGAGATATTTTTATATAATATATACCTATTATATATCTATATTCGTGTCAGCATATGTGACCTATATATGTTATATGGCAACTCTTTTGGGACATAAATTTTGAAAGAATCTATTTTTAATATGTACATTTTAAATTCTCGTTCAATGGAGAGTATTGTAGTTTATAACGAGTTTGATGAAAATACTTCAAATTGTATATAAAACGAGCACATTGTACTCCCCCCAAAATATATATATAATATATTCCACATTTTGTCTTTGGTTTGTAATAGCCTTTTTATAATCATGATGTTATGTTTTTATGATGTGGCATAAGGTCTCATGGTGGAACTTTCCTTAATTGAGTTTGTCATCGTTCTTTAGTCTGGAAATTGAGGTTTTTGTTCTCTTGTCTGAAAGACTTCATTAATGTGCAGGAATGTACCCAAGACTTTTGTCCCTTCATTCCCAGATTTTCCAGGCTGTCAGATTAATAAGAGAGTGTTATTCAATAATTTGACCAGAGTAAAATTGTAAACTTTGCTTCAGAGGCTAGTAATGACATTTGGGTATGGTTGGTTGAGAAAAATGACTAATTTAGAAGAGTCATTTAACTCAGGTAGTTAATTATAGATTATTAAGAACATTTGGAGAAAGGTAACTATATTTTAACCTTAACAATCATTCTTTAGGGTATCGATACCATGTTACCTGAGGTATTTTGTATTTTTCTGTTTGATTAGTAAATATTAGGTGTTTTGTGTTAAAAACCTTAAATAGAATAATTTTCTGATTACTGGGTTTGGGGGGTTTTAATTTTGCACTCTCAGTAGCCTTTCATGTGAAGTAAAAATAAGTGACAGAGTTTTAAATCATCTTTTTTAGCCACTGGTAAAATAAATTTATTGTTAAATATATTTCAAATGAAGTGATATTTACAAATGAAATAAAGACAATTTTAAAACTGTAAATGATGCATACATAGTCCTAACTTTTTTTAAAAAAACCTGTAATTTATCATAGAATTGCAAAGCAATTATTGACTTGTGTCATCACAATTTATTTTCTGAATTCCTTTTTTCAGGGTGCATTTGAAAAGATCTTTTCTCTTTGGCCATTGTCCAAGTGTTTTGAACTGAAAGGGAATGTATATGAATGGTGGTTCAGATGGAGGTTAGACCGTTATGTACGTATTTACTTTGTGATATTTTGTCGTTATATTGTTAGAAAATGGTTCAGAATCTTTTTCATTTATCTTTACTTAATTTTAGAATAAAGAAACATGTTGATGTAGTAAATCAAAGCAGTCCACTACTACCACTACCCTTTTTTCTTTGTAGCATTGGAAGGGTATGCATATATATGAAGATCAGCTAGAAAAATATTAGTTAAAAATGTCTATAAAGTGGCCTTTGCCTGACTTGTAATTTTAACTGATAGGTAATCTGACATATATGCTTCAGCCATGCAAAATAATATTTATTAAGCCCCAGTATGTGCCCTACATACTGGTTTTGTTATGAGATGCACAATATTAGAAAGAAGACATGCCTCCAGGCTGCTAAGCCTTAAGAATCTAGTTTAAAATTCAAGATTACTGTTAATAATGGGGTGCTAAAGGCTGGGCATGGTGGCTCACACCTGTAGTCCCAACAGTGTGGGAGGCCATGGCAGGTAGATCTCCTGAGCTTAGAGGTTGGAGACTAGCATGAGCAGGAGTGAGCCACTGTGAGACCCCAACTCTACAAAAAAAAAAAAAACAAAAAAAAAAAACCAGGCATTGTGATGGGCACCTATAATCCCAGCTACTTAGGAGGCAAAGGGCAAGAGAATCGCTAAAGGAAGAAAGAAAAAAAAAATTAAAAAAAAATAATGAGGTGCTAAACTATGTAATACGGATTTTGTGGTAGAAGAGTGCAAAGAAGAAAGAGCAGTGTCTTGGATTATTTTATGAACTTGATTTTAAAGGATGATCAAGATTTAACTGATCAAGAAAATGTAGAACATCTAGCACAGCATTTGGAAATAATAGACATTAAATAGATGTTAATTATTTCAATTTTTTCCCTTTTTCTTTCATCTTTGACTCATCTTTTTCTCGTGCCAAATGTTTTTAGTGCCTATTCTGTGCCATTTTTGGTTTCCAGTATCTACACACATATACTTTCCAATGTACCGCATTGCATTTCAAAAGCATATGAATAAAAATCTTTGCTAAAATCTCCATAGCAAGTAATTTTAAATTTGCAACTTTCTCAGTAATGCAGTCACTTATGGTATGATTTCTTAGCCTGTCTAGGTTGCTGTAATAGAATACTACAGATGGGGTGGCTTATAAATAGTAAAAATTTATTTATCACACTTCTGGAGACTGTCAAGTCTGAGATTACATCACCAGCAGATTTGGTGTCTGGTGAGGCCAGATTCATAGACAGCTGCCTTCTCTCTGAGTTCTCCTGAGGAAGAGGTGGCAAGGGAGCTCTCAGGGGTCTATTTTATAAAGGGTGCTAATCCCATTCATGAAGGCCTCAGCCTCACTACCTCTAATCACCCACCAAAGGCCTTACCTCCAAAATGATCACACTGGGGAATTAGGTTTCAACATATGAATTGTGGGTGGACACAAACATTCAGTCTATTAAAGTGATGGTTCACATTAAGTCTTTGTTTAAAAAAAAGCTGATGTGCTTTCTGGTCTGCCTTTCCCCTCCCCCCATTCTTACGTGCATGTGCTTCTTTTTAAAGTGTTATTGGTGCTGTTGTTATTTGTTGCATTTGACCAAAATGTGTTTGTCTTTGTTGGGTACATTTACATTTTATCATGTCTTTAGGAGAGTTTCTTTATTATTTTTAAATTATCTTTATTACTTGCTATTGAGACCTGCCCAAATGAACTGTCTTTATCTTACCTTGTTGCAAGAGGTGTTTGCTTGTCTCTGGGGGATGATTTCTAACAGTCATTGGCTTTATTTCATTGCTTCAAGTTTTACTATTGAAGTTTAAATCCTTCATAGAAACACCAAACCTTTAAGCTGTTACCCTACTTTCTTTTATGTGTATTCCTAAACAATTCAATATTTTTACTATATTTTGATAGGTGACTATTTAAAACAATTGTTTTTGTCTTTATTTTTCAGGTAGTCTTCCATGGAATGTTGTTTGCTTTCATTTATCTGGCTTTACAGAAACGCCAATTACTTTCTGAAGGAAAGGGTGAACCTCTTTTTCCAAACAAAATTTCAAATTTTCTGTTGTTTATTTCAGTAGTTTCTTTTTTGGTAAGTTTTGAAATTTGAAAATTTCTAATTTTCCAAAATTCTAAATGACATAAAATTAACTTTAAGATTTAGGATGTCTTATTTTTATGAATAAATCTTCACTTTTCAAATTCTTTTTTCTCTTATTTTTCTAATTGGGCATAAATTTCAAAGGAAAAAATATATAAGTTAAATATGAAGAATGACTGAGAGCTCAATGAAATGAGAATTTTATAAGTTATAATATATTTGGAAAAAATAAAATGTAAGGTATTTGATGTAAAGAGCCTTCATTGCCTCCTCATCACTATTTCCAGAAAAACACAGACCTACGCACCTCTTTCTCTGCTTTCTGACATCTGGACAGTTGCGCAAACCTGTGGGCACTTTTTACTGATGCTTTTTGTATGCCATAATGAAGTATAAGGTTATAAATAAAGAGAACTATAAAAAGAAATTGTGAGAATTAGGCTTCTTTAAGAATTAACCGTTTTGTGAACTGTTACATACATTTTTTTTTGTTTTAGACCTATTCCATCTGGGCTAGCAGTTGTAAAAACAAAGCAGAGTGCAATGAACTCCATCCATCTGTTTCTGTGGTACAGGTAACAATTTAGCAAAATGTTTACTTTTAATTCTTGATAAGACCATTGTTTTTAGAGGCAAAGAGATTTAAGAGCAAACTTCAGAAAATGGAAGAAGTTACTTAATCTCTCTAAGTCCTTCCTCTGAATTAATATTAAACTCTCTTTCAAAGGGTGGTTGACAAGGGTACATGCGAATCTCTCTACATGTAGAATATAAATGTCTTACCACAATAACTAAGAAAAAGACATGAAGGCTATGTTAACCAGTTGGATGAAAGTACTTCAAATTGTATAGAGAAACAGTACACTGTACCCCATGATAGTATTAATTATGATGATTAATTATTATGATTTAATTTTTTTTAAAAAAAGGGTGGTTGTATTAAATGTATGGAAATGATCTAGCTTAGTATTTGTCACCTGATGGGCACTTAGTAAATGTTAATTCCACTTATATTTGCTTTTTCAACACTTATTTATTCAAATTTATCTCTTTAATCATAGCTATTATCTACTGTGTGTTAAGTAACATGCTAGATGTAAGAGGCTCAATGTTAAGATAAAGCACCTTCCCTCAAGAAGCTTAGTCTAATAGAGATACAGATCAATAAACATTCATTCATTCATTCATTTAACAATTTTTTATTCACTTAACAATATTTGATACTGTATGCTAGACATTGCACTAAGGGTTGCAGTGATAACCAAATCAGACACATTTCTTACCCTCATGGAGCCTATGTTAGGCTGTTATAGATAATAATCATATAAAATTGATTATATATGTTATAGATAGTAATCATATAAAAACTGCATTATTAGAAGTAGGAGTACATAATTCTATAAGAGAATATAATAAGGGCATATTACCAAGTTGGAATTAAATAGGAGTGGTTGGGGCTCAGGGATGATTTCCCTGAGAAAATTAAACTGAGGATGGAGGGATGAAGGCACAGTGGGCAACGAGAACTTAGGCTCTGGATTAGAAGGGAGCACGGTACATTCAGGGAACATAAAGAATGCCAGTGCTGTGGGAACTCACAGAGCCAGAGTCTAGAGAAGTGTGTGCTAATGACTGTTAGAGGTGGGCAGAGGCTGGGGGATACTCAAATCAGATTAACATTTTCCAGAGATACGACACCTCTGGTTGCAGGTAACCATAGGTCATTGTGATTAGTGTGAGAATGATTAAATATAAGTTGCTTTGGAAACACATGAGAAGTCTTCCTAGTCAATCTTGATATCAGCGCAGAGTTCTTGGAGGAAGTAGCATCTACTACATAAATGTGATACCAACTTTTTCCGCAAAAGAAAGGCATCAGGAAAATTTGTGTTTTTCCCAATATACATTAAATAAAATTGTTCGGCCGTATACTATCTAAAATCTGCTTAGGTATGCAGTCCATATATAAAGAAATCCAGTCTGGGTGGACTCTAGGGCAAAAATAACTTCCTAATACTTTGTTTAAGAAAATTCTGTTAAGTGTCAAGTTCAAGAACATGAATACAATAAAGGTACCAGTCAAAGGAAAGCTTAATGTAAAATGCTTTTCAACAAGGGCATTATTAATATTTGCTTTCGTGGATTCTCTTTAGATTTTAGCCTTCATCCTTATTCGGAACATCCCTGGATACGCGCGTTCTGTTTACAGTTCATTTTTTGCTTGGTTTGGAAAAATTTCATTAGAGGTTGGTACAATAAGATTTTGCTTTATCTTGCACAACCAAGTGTTAAATGTGTGTGTGCACGTATGTGGGTATGGGTATGTATGTGTGGATTTATAAATCTGAGAGCCTTTTTTTTTAAACAAAAGCTCTGTTATATATGGAATTATAAGAGCAAAGTATTTTAGAGCGTTTTAAAAGCCATATTTAAAAATGACTAGATACAGATGACTGTCAAAATATTATTTATGTTGTGTTAAGCTTTGATATAACCAAGATGCTGAGATCAGGAGAGAAAAATATTAGACCAGATATAAGGGAAATCAAGCAGAGAGGATTTTGATTTGTGGTTGGTTCATCTGCATAATTAAATATTGTATTACTGGAATTCAGTTTATTAATGTTTACCGTAATAAAATTTACCCTTATTGCAATTGGAAATTATGGGAAAAAACTTAAACTCATTACATTTTGTATGAGAGACATAATAAGAAATAATCTACAAAATCAGTTTAAACAGTGGATTTTAAAATATATTCTGAGTCGTCGGAGCTTTATTATTTGAAATAGAATGTTTTAAAACAGTAGAATTTATATTATAATCATAACAGGTATATTTTAACGTGTAAAATTTATTAAATTTTTTTAGTAGGGAAAATAGGTTTCTCTTTGAGTCCTTGAATAAATGTTCTGTGTTTTTAATCTCACTGATAAGAGAAATTGTATAGAAGTAGGAATTCTAGAAAGTATACTCTGCAAGGGACTTTCAAGGCCAATAGTGAATCAGATGGTTTCAGAAAAGCCTTCTACTGTTATTACACTATCAAATATTTAAATTAGGAAAAACTATGATTTTATTTATGGACCCTCTGCACACATCTAACTTTAAATATTTTTTTCTCCTAGCTGTTTATCTGCCAATATCACATATGGCTGGCAGCAGACACACGGGGTATCTTGGTGCTCATTCCTGGAAACCCGATGCTCAACATCATTGTCAGCACTTTCATATTTGTTTGTGTGGCACATGAAATCTCTCAGATCACTAATGATCTGGCACACATTATTATTCCTAAAGATAACTCATCTCTCTTGAAAAGGTTGGCATGTATAGCTGCATTTTTTTGTGGACTCCTCATCTTATCATCCATTCAAGATAAATCAAAAGATTAGGTTCCTAAAACTTAACTCTTTTGGCTTACTTTGTGTCTGCCTGAAGAAGAAAAACATCTATGTGGAGATATAAATAGATATGTAAATATAAATACGTGTGGCAAGAGGACAGTTCTGTGACATCTATTGAACATGCATGATTGTATATACTGGAAATGTATATAGCAATGTGAAATACTAAAAAGAATCGATGAACCAGAATGCGTTGTATAGGATTGCATGTGAAAATTTCTTTTTCTACTGAATCTATATTTCCATTTATAAGTGATTTTAAGTTAACCTATGAAAGCAGGGAAATGATTACCTTTCCAGCAAAAAGTACAGATAATTTAATTTAGCTTAGTGAGGCCACTGAGTGTTTTGATATTACTAAATTTGTGTTTATAAAACTGCACCTGTATTCATCATGGAACTTCCTATTTCACTGAAAACTTTCTTACTCAAAAATGACTGCAGTGTTGTTTTCTTGTCATATGTGCAATGTTATGGAATGATAAACAGTATGCCTTTAATTTATATGTGTTCATGTTCTGATGTTAAATGTTCCTGAAATGATTTTTCTTCCTAACTGTGGTTTTCGGGTATACAAGCCTAAATCTTTGTATACTTTGTGTTACATAGTAGTTCTAGGGTTCCATGGCAGGAGGTTTGTCACTGTTGGTGTTACGTTGCTTCTTTTTATGAAATGGCCAAATTTTCTTTCCAATCCAAACATGCACCCGTTTCCCTTCCACAAGCTACACCAGTGTAATACCAATTGCCCTGTGGATCCATTTAATATATTTTCTCCCCAATAATTAATTTTTGTATATTATTTCCAATGTTTGGAAAGCTCTTTATAGCCATTTTGGTATTCCCCCCTCCTGTTTTTAAAAAATATTTATCAGTCTGAACTTGTGCAGTGTAGTAAACATGTAAATTGTTATGATTAAGATGTATTACCATGAGTAGAGTTTTAAGTAAACCAGTGACTTTGGGCAATAAATATTTTTGTTTGTTTTGTTTTGTTCTTACAAGCTAACTATTAGAAGTACACATTTATTTATCTGTACAGATTTGATTATGATTTTTAATGTTTGAAAGATTGCACTTGTTTGCTTTTACTATGTGGGGTAAAATATTTTTTCTGTTCACCGTATGTGAAAATATGGAGTAATTTAAACATTAAATAAACGTCTGTGGATGCTTATTTTTCTATTGGCAAAGTATCAATTAAACTATATGTGTTCTCTTTTTACAAAGCTGGATCCATTAATGATTGGTTTAAATTTTAATTCATTTATTCAATTTAAATTTGCTTTTTCAAAGTCTTAATGTGTAGGGATAAGTTTGTAATAATCCTCTTATTGGAGCGTCTGAGGATTATCAGCTTTCCACCGAGGCAGTTTAAGCGTTATGGTTTATTATTAGTTTTGCTTAAAGATTTAAAAACATTAATTATTTCTGTAGCACTGGATTTATGTGCTACTGATATATTCCCATTAATTGAGGAATATTTCTCGGACAGAAATGTGTGTTCTTTCCTTTTCTCTCTTCTTCTGCCCTTACTTAATCTTTTGACATTTCCCAGATAGACAATTGTAATGATTCATTGCTCTGCCTCCTAGACTGCAGCCTTATAAGTAGGGAATAGTTTAGTTATAAATCAAAAACTTCCAAGTACTGTGATCACATTATTCTTGCTCATGTAGCTTGCCAATGAGGAGAATGCATTTTAATTTAGCTTGTAAGTTTTATCACCTGAAAAAGACTCTTCCTGATGAAACAATTGAAGAAGAAAGATGACCAGTATCTCTGTGCCTTTTGAAAACACTTACAGCTTCCAATAGCAGTGCCCAAGTGAAAATATGTTTGTTTTTTTTTTCCTCCTATTTGAACTCAAGCATAAAACTAACCTGGTAACCCCTATCTCCTACTTAATATGCAGTACTGTTTTATATGTAATAGTGAAAATAATATAATTAAAATGTAATGTATTTTAGACTAAAATACGTTATATTTGATTTTCTTAATGAGTCTATGGGTAAGAGATTATTGTGGAAATTGATGCATAATAACACCTGTGTATGTGGTAAATGTCTTAATTTTTTTCCACATTGACTCAGATACACACCATTTACATTACTCACTCAGTTTTCAAAATAAGATGTTTAACAGAATATTTCAATGTGCTAAAATTGAGATAAAACCATAGATGCTCTAAACTAGGATTTTCTGTAATATAACAATCATTCAGAAATCAGCCATCTGGCTCAAAAAGATACTTGTTGGACTCATTTCTACCCTGATCATTCCCTCTTTCCTTTGCCAAACCTCCCCACTTTTGAGGATAGCCAACAGAAGCATTAAAAATTGAGCCTACACCTAAATTATAATGTTTGCAAAGACATGTAACTTCAGTTCCTTTATTATTCTATTCCTTAAGAATGCCTTTATACTAAACCATAAAAATAAAATGCATTCTGGATATAGTCTTTGATATCATAAACTGGATGTGTTCCATGACTTGTATTACACACAGTTCAGGGTTCTGCTTGAAGAATTGAGCACCACATGGAAGTCTGCTGTATGACTAGAGGTTAGAGACTTTTGGAACTGTTGAAAGAGATTGAAATTCTTCACACAATTCAAGAGAAAATGATTTTTTTTAGCTTAATAGTGAAGGCTGAAATAAAGATTGCCAATTTTGGTTGGCAGTTCAGCCCATCTTACCACTTTGAATGTTTCTCTGCAAAGACATTCAAAAATGATTACACAAATATATAATTTAATTTGTTCATTCTTAGAATAATTGCGATTTGGGGGAACTTACTTGGCAAGATATATTCTGGCTTATTTTCTTACACAAAAAATGATTGTCAGAAAAGCTTATTAAGGAGATGGGAACAGTAAATTCCCATTCTTTAGTCTGTATACCAAAAGAAATGTAAAGTGATTAATGGGTTTAAAGACATGAAAATAAGTAGAAAATGTAAGAGAATATCACATCCCTGGGTAAGAAATAACTCAAGGATAAATCAAAAGGTAAAACCAGAATTGCTACAATTACATGAAAATTTCAAACTTCAGCATGCCAAAAGACAAATAGAAAAAATAAAAGTGGGGAAATTTTAGGGCATCCATATTTGATAAAAATTCAATACCTTGAATATGTAGAGAGCTCTTAATAGTTTAGAAACACCAAGATGTTTTTTCAGTTGGTTCCTCATTCTATACAGAAGGTCACTTCATTCAAATACCTTAAAGTACATTACGCAAATAATTTAACTTGGAAGAACGTCAGGAAATCACTGTACTCAAAGCTATGCTTTCTATGGATGCTTTTCGGGAATTAGGGGGAGGGGATAGATTTTTTTTTAATGGCCACTATGTTTAGTTATGCCCTCCTTAAACATTCTCCAGACTAAAACTAATTAAGACTGAAGTTACATTGAGCAGAAATTTGGAAACTAAATGGTCCATCTGTCTATGTGGGAGCACAGATTCAATGTTTTTTTCTTTTCACAAAAAACTGTGGCCTCATCCAATATTCCCTCAGAAACTACTGATTATTAGTCTCTTAAGTTTCTCCAAAAGATGTCGCTCCTACACCAGCTCAATGTCCCATTAAGACTAGAGCCCTAGGGTAGACGAGCTCTGGATATAGCTAATATCCCAGCTAGTTAATGTCTATAATCTATGGGTTTACCTGTGGCAAATAGCATTTATAAAAGAATATTAGAGACTTGTTCATTACCACTTCTCAGAGTCTTTAACATGTACCCCAGAATTAAGACAGGCAAGCACCTAGCAAAGACCATTGGGAACATAGCCTCCTGACTTAACCCCCAGAATTTCTCTTGAGTTTGAAGCCATTGATCAACATTGCAGGAAACTGTACAGAATGGTTTTACGAAATTCATCATTGTGCCAACTGTAAGAATGTTGTTGATTACACAATGGGATCTTTTTGTGGACTCTCAGGAGTTATTTCCCTCTGGCCTTATGGAAATAGTTGTGCTTGTTCTCAATGGTTCATTTGCTGCTATCTTGTAGACACTGTTTGCCAGTGAGAAGCCAGAGCTAAGTTTGTGCTCTATTCCCCAAACCAGGGCATGTTGGTGTTCACTATCTGTATTAGCCTCCTTCTTGGCCCCTTTTTTCCTTCTCATCTACTTCAAAATAACATTATTGGGCTATATACATCCTAACCCTATAAGTTGTCTTATATTCTTTTATGAAACAAGGCAGTCTGATGGTTGTATTTCTTCAGACCACACCAGTCAGAATAAGCAATAGAGTCATAATATATAAAAAATAAACAAAAAAACCTTAGTACCCATGCTTGGAAATTTTAGTCACCGAAGCAATTTGTCTCCTCATTAGGGTCCCAGAGTAGCTCATAAAGTGTACCTATAGCAAATGTTCACAGTGCACAGAGGGGAGCATCTGTAGTTAACAACCAAGAAATTTATAATTCAATTCATATACCATGTTCCCCCGAAAATAAGACACTGTGTTACATTTATTTTTTCTCAAGAAGACACACTAGGGCTTATTTTCAGGGGATGTCTTTCTCCCTGTACCAAAGCATGGCGTGGCTATGCAGATACGCTGCATAGCCACGCCCATCACTAGGTCTTTTTATTGAGGTAGGGCTTATATTTAACAAATATATAGAAATCCTGCTAGGGCTTATTTTATGGGTAGGTCTTATTTTTAGGAAAACACAGTAGCACATCAAAACACCAAAAGAAACACTAGGAATAGAGTTTCATATATATGAAAATTCTTAATACAGTGAATAGAATTTTAAATCAAGGAAAGGAAGGAAATAAAATACAATTTAATTTACATCTAATCTCTGTTATAGAGAATAGCTTTAGCATATAAACAAAAGAAAGCAAAATGCATAAAATTATAATACCAAAAAGAAGTACTTCTCTTAGTCAAAAAAAAGAAAAATTAAGAGGTAAATTGGAAAAATATTTTTTAAAATGAATAGACCTACTTTTAATGTCTTTACATAAAGAACTCTCACAATTTTATATTTTAAAACTCAGTTTTTCTCCAACTTATGGCTGGTTGATAGTTTATGATTCCATTTAGTACCTGACTTCATTCCATCTCCATTACATAAATCGTTTAACTTGGAGTGTACATCAGGAAGCAACACCCTCAAAGCTGTGGAGTCTATGGAAGCTTTATTGAGATTTTTTTTCTCTCCCCTACCTCCTTCTCTTAGTTGCCACAGTGGAATTTTGGTTACACCATCCTTAAATATTTCACAGAATAAAATTATCAAGTATGTGCTATATGGAGGAAAAGTCTCAGCCCTCAATAGCCCATCTGTGTTTAAGAAAAAATTCGATTTTTTCCTGAGGAGAATCTTGGCCACGTCTTACCTACACTCTCAACCATCAATATGGTGGCCCTTTTGGTTAGGCTTTGCAGTATGCAGAGAAAATCTGTCTTAATCCCAGATACCCTAGCATTTAATGCCTGAACTTGTGCTCTCTATCAACCAAACAGAATAGCTGTACTCCAGATAGTTACACTTTTGCCTTTAGTCCACTGTGATTTTTAGTCATACTACTTCTGTGTTTTTTGTTTTTGTTTTGTTTTACTTTCTGATAGGGGAACTGAGTCTATACATTCACTTTTAACAGATCTATCTTGTCATGGTCGTCAGAAACGAATGGACATCCATCCAAGTTTATATGTATTTTTATTGATTACTCTTGATCATCATAATTTTTTTTTCTTTTTGAACTTACTGCAATGGACTAGTTTTTATTTTTTCTCTATTGATTTGGGTCTTCCATATCCTGCTTCGACTATACCACTGGTTATCTTTAATTCTGTCCTCAGAGTTCTAATATTATCTGAGCAAGACCACGTAAAAGGAACTGGAATATTATTGGAACAAAAATTAAGATTGCAGTGAGTCCATCATTTCCCACATGAAGCATTTGTACACTTCATTTTTGGCAAGGTGCTAGCCTTGAAAATACCAATGCAGTTACAGAGGGAACTCAGAAAGAAGACTCCAGAGAGTCAGTAAGCCTCTGTCTCTCAGCATGCTGGTCATCTTTAAAATACCAGGGAAGCTATGTGCAGAGAACAAAAATAGGAATGCCTTCTAGTGCCAGCCTGTACCCTCCAGCTTCTCCTTGCAAGAGCAAGCTCCTTCATTATTTCTTTTTTATGTCTTTATTTTTCAATAGGGAATATATTTAGATGGTTCAAAAAAAA